GGCGGTGACAGCTGCAGATACACCCATGGGCTTTCCTTTGACTCAGCGCCTTCAAACTGAAGCCGGAAAAGTCTGAGGACAATACAAAGTTGTAGACACGATGGTCTGACCGGCTGTCTGCCAGTCACACTTAATGAGAACCATGAGCTCATGTTAGACGGGTGGTCAGACACTACAGTAACAAAGGGTGGGATGTTACTGATGCTGTGTAAAGAGACTATGTCATTTGTGCCAGCTAGACTTATTAAATCACCCTGCAAAGTGAACAACCACAGGCAACGCTATCATTTCCACTGGGGATAGGAATGCCTATGTCTTTGCCCTCCTCACTTTTACAGTTCCATTCACTAAGATGCCTTTTAATAACGTCCTCTAACTGCGAAAAATCCAGAAGATATGAATTGCCTTCAGTTTTAACTTTGCACTCACAACATTTAGGCTTTGCATGCCATTCAACATGCGATGTTAAGGCTTTCTTTACCCTGGATTCCGCATCCAAGCCAACATATATACTGCCCTTCTTCATGTTGTAAGCTATATTTATTTGATACAGTTTTATTTGTTTCTTGTTAACCTCTGACTTAATTGTCCGCCAATGCAACCAGTATTCCAACATGAAGTGCTCATATTATGTGGTAGAATGTCAAAAGTGTGTAGGTCATACTCCTTGTGTGATATCCTATCATTACACACATTTTACATTCACACTGTCTTATAAACAAACAAAGGACACTTTAGAAGCTCTGAAGACAAAAGTAAGCAGATTGATGCAGCCTGTGTTTGATGAGGACATGTTGCCACAGTATATGAATTAATGTGTGTCACTTTTGGTTCAATCACTCTAAATCAGGTTTGATTCAGTGCATACAACACAAAACAACACCTCTATTGTCAAATTAGTAACAGTATTATCTGACACTGTAACGCAGCGCAACAATAGCCCCGCCCTCAGTCTGACCACACTTCATTACAGTGGGACGGCAGCTCACTCCATGTCTGACTCAGTGTTACCCCCTCAATATAGAGGGCAACCCTCCTAAAACCAGTGGAACTAATGCTGGGGGCCATCCATCTGTCTGCAGCCCGAGGTGGGCCGTTCAGGCAGTGTCGGGGGCCTTAGCCGGCGGCACTTGAGACTTTAGGGAGAGGGAATAGCTGACTTATCCTGTCAGCAGCACTGTTAAAGAGCTCCACCCGCTTTATTCCATTCCTCTTCTGCCCCATTCTGTGTTTATTCTGGCGTTTTGTAGAAGGATAGATATGAACTGTTAGGAGAGGTGATCTAACCCTGCGGTTATAGTTGCAAATAGATTATGCATTTTTTATCACTTACTAGTCAAATGCACAACTAACTTGTTAATAATGCATCCTGAGACGTCAATAAACTGTTGTGTAATGAATATTAGGGATTATGAAATTCTATTATCAAAGGTAAACATAATGAACTTACAAAAATACAGCTGAACCCAAGCTTTTTGATTGCTTATTTTTATTATTATTTATTTATTATTTCTAAATTTAGCAAGCAAAGAGCTTTGTAAAAAGCCGGAAATAGGCAACCAAGCTTCAAACAGCAGTTTGAGAGCCTGATTAACGCAGTGGAGTCAGTGATGACAGGAAGAGGATGTTTGGTTCCAGCCCGGCGTTTGGACTGTCATTACTCAGCGAGCGTGAATTACGATTCAATTGTACTTCAACGATTTTCAGGAGATATGGCTCAATTGTCATGCATCGTACCGGTACTTGCTGGGCTATTGAAGGGCTAATTGATATGTGGGGAACAGATGGGAGGCAGGTGGGGGAGAAGGAAGGTATACTGACTGAGAGTGTGTTAGCTCTTTAAAATGACTACAAGGCTCTGACTGTCTCCAGATAAAAACAGACATGTTGCCAAAGTGCCAATAGCAAACACAGAGTTACTGTATGTCGCCTCTTTGCGCTGTAATGACTCATCCACTACACTGCTGCAAGTCACTGACATCAACAACATGGTAATGACTACAAGATTGAGACTGTTAGTGCCCCCCACTGAGGCATTCAGGTGCAAACTGTGAATGTAACATAAACCAGATCGTAATTAATTTAATTTGTAACTAATAATTTCTTTGTAATTAATAATATCTTATAAACTGGTTCTGTCTTTTCAGTGAAGGCTTTTAAATGATGAGCAGTAAAATCACAATATGTATTTAAACACTGGTGTACGGAATGGGTTGTGAAGTATGATCGGTGACTGACACTTTGCTCACCCAGGGATATCTAGCCATGCAGATAGTTTGGATTTATATATTTTTTTCTATGTCCTGCTTTTGATTAATAATTGAAAGTGCCAAAACATGTCCATGTTCAAGCCTCTTAATCTTGAATTATGACCACAGACTTTTGGTTCTTGACCTCCTGTCTTTACTACTTTGTATACTAAGGAAAACAACAGAATGATTAACCCATAATAATAATAATAATAATAATAATAATAATCCTTAGTTTGCAGAACTAGCTGTCCACACCTTTACACATTAAATCCAATCCAATCCAATCCACCTTTATTTATATAGCACTTTAAAACCTCCAGACCAAAGTGCTGTACAGAGAGATACATAACATATCAAATCACACAGCTCAGCTCACAAAACATACAAAGAAGTATAAAATGGCATAAAAGGTGCGAACACAAAACAAACCAGAATAAACTTAATCTGGCATACTAAATATAAGGGTATTGTTGGCATTGGAACACACCATTTGATTCTTTGAAATCAATTCTGCATATTTGTAACCAAATTCCATTCATCTCCACTAAATTGAGTTTGAAGCAGGTTCCTCCAAACCTGGGCATAGCTACAGATCTGACTTTGCTGGGAATTAATTTTAGGAGTATTTAATCACAAACGCTTTAACTCCTGTCCTTGACCAATCCATTCAAGCCCTCTACTCCGAGGACGACAGCGTGTCTCGAGTGAAAATACACAACTTCAGGAGACAGCGCTTTGAACAATGAGACATCGTGTTAACTCTCCCCACCACTCCCCTCCTTAAAGGAAGTGCAGTTGTATGCTCAGGCGGTAATTACAGTGTGAGTACTATCAAGGTTTGGCACGGGCTATTTGCTCTGTAACTGGTCTGTTCGGGGACAGTCGAGACAACAAGGTAGCTGTCTTCCCCCCACCCCCACACCCAAAGACTTCAATCGGAGCATGCCAAACACATGGTCTTTGGGGAGAGCTGACGGAGACGCTGTGTTGACTGATGGTGACGGAGATGACTGACAGTCAAAGTGCACACTGCTGTGTCTCCTTACTGGCCAAACAGTCAGAACCCTGTAATGTGACTCTGGCCCCTCATGAAGGGGCCCTTCAGATATGTTTTCCTAATCACACTGAAAAAACTAATAAGTGGACTTTAATGAAGTGTATTATGTCAACAAAACCACCTGCCCTTTATATAGACCACCCTTGGAAGCCAGCCTCTTCGACGTAGGACCAGAGATGCGGGCAACACCGAGTTGGACCTCTGACGTTACACGAAAGAAGAAGAAGAAGATCTCAACAAATGTCACATAACTGTATTAGGTTAGTTAGTTGAAAGCAATAGTTCAACCTAACATGCATTTAAACGTAATAGTATTGCTATCAACTCACCTAGTACAGTCATGTGAAATCTGGTGACATGATACATTGAATTAAAGTCAATGTTTCAGATGGGTCAGTGTACCTTGAAGCTCAGAGTCAGGATGTGAGATGAATGCTTCTTCAAATGTACATTTCAATGAATAAAAAAACAAGGCTAAAAACAGTCTAAGCTTTTTTTTCAGTGAGTTTTGTTGAAGTGAAATAAGAAGCTCTTTGTAGTCCCTTGGGAGCATCTGGAGTCACTGAAGGAGCACTTTCACAGATGCTGACTTCGTATGCTCTGAGGTTCATAGCCAATGTTTACAGCCTTTTAAAGGGAGCCTCAGCAGTGGGTCGGGCACACAGACACCACGCTGTCACAAACCATAACATCCTACAAGCGACGGGAAAAAGTGCTTTTGTACATCACATTGGGTGGTGTTTCTGTGTCGAACACAAAGACAGAGGTATGCTGACAAAGAGCATAGTGATTTACAGGTGATACATCTGTGATGGAGGACCTGGAGATGACTCAGTCTAGCAGTGAGAGTCATAATCTGGCTCATGGGGTGCCGGCAGTGATCCTGCAGCTTTCTGTAACAACAAAGCCAATATGCTGCTTTGGACACATGCAAATATGGATTCAGTGGAGGAGTAACCCAAGGAAACTAAGCTGTGTACTTCAATTGTAACCATCTGCTCTGCATTCACTATCACTACAGAAGCACACATCTACACAATACAACAGAAGAGCACAATGGGATGGACATAGAAGAAAATGCAGCATCTGGAGAAGGATTTTATCCAATACGCGATAAAGCAAAAGGAAAAAAACAAATCATACATTTTTAAGCACTGCTGCCCACAGGGGGAAATACACCCCAAACTCTAACATGCTCACTTAAAGCACACTGCATCAGTAAATGGGAACTGCATCACACTGCTTCTGTTTCCCCAAGTGCCCTGTGCCCTGTGCCCAGGATATGTCTCCCCTAATAGGCCTGATAATAGAGATAAACGAGCAGGCTAGAGTCACAGTAAAGTCAGATTGCTGTGGGGAGCAGATGCTGGTGTTAATCCAAGGTCCCTTGGGCAAGACACACAGTAAAGCTGCATATGGGCTACTCTTGTGTCTGCTGGTCTAAGTGGCCTTTTAATGACATCATGCAGGAGGATTACTCATTTTCCCCACAAAATCAGACACAGGGTTTAGTACATTTTGGATCCATATTGGTGTAAGGAAAGGGGTGGATGAGTGAATGTACAAGTGAATTAATGTCTTCTGCCCTGGAGAGTCAGACCTAGTTCGGAACCACTGATTTGGATCACATCAACTCCATCTGTGCACACATAACCCACACACAACCAGCCAGCCAGCCAATTTAAACTTACCATGTGCCAAAGTTATAAATGCAAATAAAGCCAGTAGGTGGACCAAAGTGTGGTGGTACTCCATTATCCTCTCAGATGTTTCATGGAAAAGGTGGGTAACAGTCTCCAGGAAAAGCAGTTAGTCAGACAGGGTGTCCAGCAGCTGAGATAAATCCAAACAGGCGTGCCACTGCCAAGGATGTCAGGTATATAGGATGCAAACAGCTTCACACTCCACAGGCAGCATCTCAGCCGGATGGAATTAAATTAGAAGTTCAAACATAGTAACTTTTGATAACACTCCAAAAGTCTGCGACGGAAACAGCGGACAGTCCTTACAAAGTGAGCCGCAGGTGATGGGAGGAGAGGCGGCAGAGAGCGGCAGCAGCACCCGGTCACTCAGTCCCGTTCTCTGCCGTCACAGAGGGGAGAAACACTCAGAAAGGCTTCCACTGACAGAGAGTTAGTCCCAAAGCGCAGGAAGTCCTCGCAGTGGGAGGAACAGTCAAATGTGTTAGACACAGGGCTCCATGTGTCCTGTGTAGCCGCTGTGTCCACTCCTCTGCTCCGCTAGGAATGAATTACTACAGCCTCATCACAACCAACACGGTCCCGCTGCCACAACACTGCGATGAAACAAGCTATAGTAAGATAATGAAGTTCCGGTTGCGCTTTCAAGATAAAACGAGGGTTTTGCTACGTGTTTGTAACGCTCTGTTTTGTACGATGTAAATACATTTCATCAACTCAATTTGTTAAATTGAAACACTCTTATGTAATTCCCCATGTAGTCACTATCACAACCTTTTCATACACATAACAGTCAGTTTATGGGGTTTATGTGTGGTGTGTAACACTGGATAGGCCTACTGCTAGATGCATATTATTCAAACAGTATGAAGCTTACAATTATGTGTTGTCTCTAAATTCCCAACAGGCCCAGGTTACAATTGTTTTCACTTATTGTTCAGTAAATAATGTTTAGAAGGTCTATATTTTACATATCAAGACCCTCATCATTAATGTGGCCTTTCCTTCACACAGGCAGCAATGCGTTATATTACTCAATGAAAGTAATATAGTGATTATATACATATTGTTGAAAAGTAGTCTTACACTAAAAATGCTCAATTGATTTTTCCATTGTGTAATATTATTTTGAAGGCACTCTTACCCGGCTTCCGCTTCACTCGTGGTTGATTCTGTGCAACTTTACCATCCGATACTACCTTCTTAAAGGGCCAGCGCACCCGACCTAAACTGATCCGTCTTTTTAATATTCTTTATTTTCTAAAATAAACAGGAACATGGTAACAACAATTTCATTTAAATCATGTGAAGTACTTAATGCCAAAGACGCTTTCTAGTCAAATGATGTATTGTCTGCTAGGTCTGGTCCTTTAAATCAGTTTAAAAACACAGTTTTTTTAGAATTGCTTAAAGAGATTTAATTCATGTTTGTCAACTTCCTGTTTGTTTTACTGTGTTATAAAATGTGTCGTATAATATGTTGCTGGTTTGTATTTTATTGCGTTTTCAGTGTATATAAAGAGTGTTCTGAAAGCACTTTGTACGATTATTATTTTATTGACATCTTTAATTTAAATGGGCCACATACTGTATGTACTGCCCTCTTAGGTTTAATTGAAGTTCGATTCTGTTATATTGCATTAAATATTATTTTTAAAGGTCCCCTATTATACAGTTTTTCATCAATATATTATAGGTCTCAGATATACAAAACATGTCTCTGAGGTGTTTGGCTGAAACCCCAAACAGCATCCCATAATCCCCTCTGTTTCAGCCCTGTTTCAAAAGTGCTGATTCTCTGTCTGTTACTTTGGATGAAAATAAGGAGCCCCTCCCCACGCCCCTCTGAGAGAGATTTGATTACAAAGAACTCAATGGTGCTCTAGGAGGAGATTCAGGTGATAAGGGGGGGGGGGTTACGTTTGGTTGCTGATTGGCTAATGGTTACACAAGCCAAAAAATCGTTATGACATCATAAAGTGGTCAAAATTTACAAAATCTGATCAACTCATTTTCAGACAGGTTTTTATATAAATGAATCAGGACAAAAGTGAGTGAATATTTTTTCCGGAAACTTTCAGAATGTCTTTACACAGAGGAGACACATGTTGATGTAGAAAAACATGTAAATGTTAAAAAAATGAAAAAGTGAATTTTGCATACTAGGTGACCTTTAATACTGCAACCTTTCCATCTTCAGGAGGGGACATATTACAGTAACATGGATTAAAGGACAAACTTATCAGCTTCATCAAAGTTCATAATAGCATTGTTTATCTTTTAATTATTTGAAATGTGAGAATGAATGTTCATACTAACCCTTTCATAACATAAAATAATATAACATAACATATACGCTTATTTAGGTTTTCAGAAAGTATGAAGGCCCTTTTATATTCTACTTGAAAAATCCATTTGTAAAAAAATGAAGTTAAACTATTCAATATGTTATTCATGTCAACAAAGCTGTTATATAAACACAGAGGTATAAATTATTTTGGCAGTAGTTTGAATCCAAATGGGTTTGTGTCTAACATGTGAAAGACCTTTGATCAAGCCAAATGTGGTGCTATGTATACCAATCAGGTAATGGACATGAGTCAGGCATTAGAGGCACAAACAAACCACCTCACCACTGCAAAATGTCACTATTTATCTGAGCACTGGCATTGCCTGCACTTGTTGGAAAGCGAAAAGCAACATCACATGTGCCGGAAGATGTGGCCAACTGCAGCCAATGAGAGCTGACACACCAGAGCCTCCTCCTGCGATGAAGCAATAAGGAAAGATTGGGCAGGGTGCTGCTGAGCTGAATACATATTAGGGGTCAGGCAGATCTAGTAAACACACAGCTCTTGACATTTATAGAAATGCATTGGATGGTGGTATGCATCAGGGAGCGCATACTAAGATGAGATTTAACACATTCTGTCACACGCAGCTACTGATATGGGGTGAAAATAAGTAATTCCCCATAACTAAAGTCACAGAGGCTGGTGTTTTAGACTGACAAGACATCCTCTATTTTTGCAGCAGCCCAGAGAACCAAGCAGTGCTTAAACACCCCTGATATTTCTTTCATGTTTTATGCATGTACATGTTTAATTTAATTGCAGAAACTGATTAATTGAGCATTGCTCTGTGATTGAATAAAACATGATGAGGCCCTCCACTAAATGCATTTCCGCTCGCCTGTGACTGATGCTGCTACTGTTGTGTCTTCGTCAAACATTTGGCTTAGCTGTCAGTGGAATCAAGCACTCCATGAATTTAGAGTAATTATCCATATTAGGTAGTGAATTACAAGGACAGCCCATCAGTGCTGTTCCGTGCTGTGCTGCACACTTGCAGCTGAGCCATACATCATATAATTATGCCCTCTCCATACACAAAGGGTGGGATTTATGAGGTGATTTTTGCCATTCATTTGAACATATTGAAAAGACCTTTCGAATCCACTTTCGGGAAATGCCAGCATTAAAACCCTTCCTGGCAGCACTATGTTCTGTAGTGTCTCTTTCACTTGAGAGGTTTGAGTGTTCAGCAAGTTTGTATATCCTTAGCTCAGCAACCATTTTATACGACAATGTTTGAAGTCAAATGCTGGACTAAATGATAAATGCAGCGTGTAGTTGTTCTATATCTGATGAAGAATCCACTGCTTTAACAATGCACTACATTGACACAACTCATTACCATTAAGAGAACTCAAATTGAATATAAATGAAGAAAAAAACCAAGGCATGTGTGCTTCATTGTTTAGGTTCTGTGCTTAATGCAATGGGGGGCGACTGGGCTTCTGTTCATAAATAAATAGTGACTTTAAAAGGATTGAGATGATGATGTATGCCTGACCTCTGGATTGCTTTTGTTTCTGGCTGAGCGTGCCACAACTATAAGCAATTCCATTATTCTTCATCGTTTAGAGTTGATGAAATGCTTTCATAAAAATAAAGAACAATATCAAGAGTGAACTTTATTCTCAGAAATCCAAATGGTTGTTCTTTATGGGTTTTATAAAGTCTGTCATTTGGTGAAAAGATGATGATTGATATCAGCTCTCTAAAGGATGAGTTCTGAACATCCAGTACAACATTAAAGGCTCCATCTATTGCACTTTGAACACATGTATGGTAACACGTTTTATATAGTGTGTCAAGGTTTTGCCTATGGTATTAAAACACATGTGTACACATTATAAAGCAGTGCACAATAGAATAACAAATTAAGTATATTTACCTTATAGAATAGAAAAGTATGAAATGAGCGCTTGAGTGTGACCAACCCAGTTGGTCCACAACTTGGGACGTAGTATTTCTACAAAAACGCCTCTGAAATTGTAGTATCCCTACGTTTTTTTTCACCATTCATTTCCAATGGCTGGCGTCTATGTCACGTGATCTTCAACTTTGTCTCCGCAGAAAAAAAAAACATGGCCAACCTTCGTTTTATTCTGGAAAATGCCTATTTTAAGGTTAGTTTGGCCATTAAAATGCGTTTTGATGTCATTTGATGTGAGAAATATGAGTTGTTGAATACATTTCAAAATCCTTCTGCTAACACACAAAGTTCTCAATAACCAGGCGCCCCCCCCCTACCTCCTTGTGTCCATACAACGTTTTCATTGTTACCAAGGTGGTTGCTAGGGACGCTGCTATCGATATTACTTCTGTTATGTTGTGTAACTGTTTAATGGTGTTACCTTTATTGCTACCCCCTTCCCCGTCAATTTATAGTGTTGGTTCACAGCGCAAACGTATTAGTTTAACAAAATCTGCATCTAAAATTGTGGCATAGATACGTTATTTTCCCCTGTGCAATTCTCCAACCCAGTCTCACATCTCACATCACATCGTCATAAACAAATACCGGAAACAGACGTAGGCAAGTTCCTCAGCTCGGTGGTTGGATGGTTTAGCCGCAATGCACGTTGGGAAATGGTGTTTATGCCATGTGAAATCCGAAAACATTTAAAAAAAATAAAAATAATACTTTATTCCGAGTGTGCTTGCTTTTCTCTTTGAAAGTCATCACATAACGCCATTGTAATACACGGTTCGGCTTCATTAAATATTACATATCTGCCGTAGTTCTCTATTTATAGAGCCCTGCTGAGAAGACTTCTAGACAAACAGGAACATATGCCGCCAAAACTGAATACGTGACGTGGATCATAAATATATCAGCAATTAAACAACATCTTACATTTCTTTTCACACAATATGTCTCCTTGCAGTATCAACACTAATTCGAAAATGATTGAAAAACTTGATTTGCAGGTTCCTCAACAGTGCATTACAAGACATCTATCAATATGTGTGTATACCTCCAGCATTAAACTGTCATATTCTGCACATTTCCTCTA